TTGGATATAAAGAAATTGACAAATTCTTCAAAAAATTTTTTGTAAAGAAGATATCGCTATACGCAGGATTGGTATGAAAATTCAAAAAATAAACGCACAAATTAAACAAAAGGGGACTGACAGCAGAGCTATCCCGAAACACTTATTTAGTGAAAAAACACTGCGAGATTATTGAGATAGCAAATATATGAACGCTCTCCATGAGTTTTTGCCATCACCGCCACCATATTCCGTAACAAATTAACAAGTGCAAAATTGATGCCATGCTCCACTCATGTAAAAGTGTTCAAATGCTGCTGCGAAAGCAGAGATCAAATGAGCCGGCCCATTTTTATCGCCTGTAGGGCATATACGATAACATCCCTCCGCATGTTAGAACTGCCGTCGAATGCTCAGGCAGCAAGGAGACAACCCGCCTTGAATGAGCATGAAAATGCGCAGGTTGGGGGGGGGGGGCGGCTTGAGTAGTGACGGTGACCTTTGATTTTAAGGGTGCGGTTGCACGTGCTGTTTCAGCAAGCATAAGTACGCTTTCAACGCGAAAAGAGCACTTCACCCTGGAGCGCAGACCCACCTGCCCACCTCGTGAACATCCGCGCGCAATAACTAGTGCTCACTCTCGCCTGGGGGTTGCCGCGGTCACGAGCACGCCGCCGCTGCTTGGCGCTCCGTCGGCGGCGGGGCAACCGCGGAAGATAGATGAATTCTCGTGCCGAAATGACGAAACTTGAGGCAAAATTCCTACTTGTTCATTGCGAAAAATTGTTACATCAAGGATGTCTTTCGCTCTGACGTTCTTACACCAAGGTCGCAAATACATGTGCTCCTATAAAGTAACAATGGGGAATAGAGAAACTTTGTTACATCGAGGAATTCGTTATATAGAGGTCCATTAAAGCAGGTTTAAGTATATAAAAATTTCCCCCTCTTTAGTCAACGAGTATTCCCATTTTCGAGGTCACTGTATTATAATTCTACTCACTCCGTTTATCCAGCGGGGGTGGGGGGGGGGGTGAGCAACTTTTACACGTTTGTAGGGAGGTCTTTCTGACTGATTACCTGAGATACGTTTTTACTTGTAAACATCAGCCTGTTTTCAATCTCTGAAAATGCGCATTTTGCATAGCCTGAACTAAGCTTTCAACAGCATCAAAAGTTTTTGTAAAATTTGGGTACCTATCTAACCAGACACAACATGATGACTGTAAAAAGATCGAAAGTGGGCCAGTCGGTAAATCATAAATCTCCAGTGAACCGGTGCTTCTTTCTTCGTCGGTTGTGTATTCCTGCGCTCCTAGTTTGCTCAACAATCACGATGATTGCAATAACACCACTTGCCTTGGTCATCGAGTCCTCACATGCCAACAGGTCTGGCAGTGTAGGTGACTTCATTTCACACTTCTTACGAAGTCCACTGTAACAGTACCGAGAGTTTCGCCTAGTGGTAATGCAGTTAATTAAATGCAAAGCTTCAACGTACTTCAAATGAAGAACATGTCGCAAGCGTATGCCATGCGTAGTAGCACATATATACATGCCAAAACTGACCCCCAATTCGTAGGCGCATGCGAGGAAGAATCAATATCAGATAAAAAAATTTCGCACGAAGCAGAACCCACGCATGCACACGCAGTATTGTTGCATGGAGGTTTCTCATTGAAAACAATAAACCTTTGTTACGATAATTTTAGCGACCACACTGGCCGTTCTTTTGAATGCTAATAGCTATTAGAGGCTCGTATTGAGACACAGAACGATGGAGGTCTTCAGCCATCGAAAAACACTTCCCACCTCTTTCCTTCAAATGATACGCTTGGCTACCTCATTTTGTTTTATAACGTGAAAGGTATCCTTAGAAGTCAGCTCCCTCAAAATTTGCTGCAGAAACATACTCACCTTGTGTTGTCACATCCCTCCCTCACTCTGAATACTTTCAAAAGGTGCCGCCGTCCAATTTTTTTACCCTTAAGACGCGATCACGGACCACCATGTCTAAATGCCTGTTGCGGCGCCCTTGGTGACTGGTTCTCGGAACAGCCTATAGCAAATGAAAGCTGCTCAGGACTGTTCATGGCAGGCATGCACGTATTCACGTTCAGTTTACTGTTGTTCTCCGTTAAACACCGCTTATAAACTTGGTGGTCGACACTCGCGTGTTCAGGTAAAATAAAATGAACCACTGTAAATCAGGTATGTGTGTTTTTACTTGATAAACCTGCTGATATATAGACTACTGTCCTCGCTGCTCATATTACGTTTTAACGCGGTACCTTTAGAGAGCTCGTGTTACAGAAACTCCGCCGTCAGCGTTGGCACCGTTGAGAGTGAGTGAAAAATTGTCCGTGACTGAAAAATTGAGAAAGAAGCAAATAAAATAAAGAATAAAACTTTCAGTCCCATTGAGGATTGAACCCGGGCTGTTCGCATGGCAAGCAGGTGTCCTAACACAAAGCCACGATAACACTTGCAGCTGCTTCGAGAAAAAAACAGAACATAATTGTCAGGTAGTGGAAGGAGTCTCCTTAACACATTTCGTTCGACAAGTGCCACGACGAAAACGAGCTCATTCGGTGATTTGTAGGTGCATTTGGGAGGCCATCAAACTACGTCGAAAAAGGCTGAGATTGTGCAGCCGTCGCCGCTAAAACACACAAGAAATTTCAAACCGCTTTAAAATGGACAACTATGTCCATCTAGCGGAAAACATATCATGCCTTTCCAGAGGCATCGATCAAGCAAACAGGAAACGCTAGATAATTTGCTGCCATTTGTGAGGCATTGTGAGACACTTTATGGCCTCCGCGATGGCGAGTGTGCGGCGTGCATCTTGAAGGCCATGCGACTTTTGCTTCAGATAAAAAACCTGTATGTACCATTCGCGTGCGCGCACGCGTGTGTGTGTGTCTGTGTGCCATCGGTGAGACATTGTGAAAAACGTGTCTCGACTACAGCAGAGCGCAGTTCGCACAAGGAAGTGGCCACACTGCACAGTCACTGCACTACTATAGATACGTCACGCTTGCGCGTTTGTGTAACAAAACCTAATAATAAGTATGCATTTAGTGGTTGAAGGGCGCACTAAGGGCGGGATTTCACTATCGCGTTTAACTGTTGAAGGCGATGCTTATGGGTCCCCTAATTTTTACCAGCTTGCTCAATGCAACACTACCACTAAGGCCAATGAACTGAGGCTTCACTCTGGCAGAACTTTTGTTGACATGAAAAAATTGTTTGCGCTCCCATTATTGCTTATTCATTTTTTTTTGTATCTTTCAGCTCTATGTTTCTCATACGAAGTAGCACATGTGGAGATATATGTAAGGCCAATATTTAAACTCAATGAGTGTAAAAAAAAACACAAATCGTTGTCAATGCTTTGTCGGTTCTCCTATTTTGTTGATCAATATTTAGCCCATTTTATTTGGTTTTCATAGATAGCAACGTACGTGATAACCAATTTCTCATTGCATTGTCGATAGCAAGAATATGGTTTTGTACTTGGCATTGTGCATATTAGTGTTGTGTGGGGATCTGCATACCTAGTGGAACACTCTGGCTCACAAGGCTGTTGACATTCAGAAAGATTTGTAAGATATCTGCCCGCCATCACCTAGCCGCTTTGCGTTCGACAAGAAGCGAATGACAACAGCGGAGTGTTCGCATTCCGTATTAAAGACCAGCACGGATAGGAAATAGTGGGGAAATGCGAAGAAGCCTGCGTATGGATTTAAAACCTGAACGTGAGGCTTCACACTGAGGGAAAGTTATGAGAGCGAAATCAAAGAAAGAGAGGGCACGACAGGGCAAAAGTAGCACGCATTCGTCCAAGTAAGCAATCGCCGCTGCTTTTAATTTGTTAGGAACTTGTTTTACTTTGTTGTTGTTGTCGCAATGAGGCATGCCGGTGGCCTAGAAACCGTGCCATCGTTCCTATACAGTCCGTAATAGCAAAGTAGTGCTGAGTGGCGGCTGAAGTGCTTTGTCTCTTTTTTTTATAATGACAGTCTTCTTTAGTGATTGGTTGGTATCGGTAGTACAAACGAACATTTATTCACGACCATGCAGTTAGGCTTGATTTACATAAACTGACCCTACAGAGTATCATTCAGTCTTGTTCAGCCCATAATTTCGTCAGGACAATTGCAATTATACTCTTGTGATCTGACTCACAGATCGCGTTTCGGTTGAGGTCTGCAGTAAAGCAAAGTGTAGGAGCGGGCTAGATCGTATTACGTGTTTTCTACAACTGAAGTGCGAAAAGCTGTACAGCGGCCCAGCGGACAATGAGGACAAGCGCTAATTTCAAACTAGTTTGAGGTTAGCTGAAGTTAGTTGGAGGTCAGCGCTTGTCGTTGATGTCCCCTTTGACCTTTGTATACCTTTTTGCACTTCAGCTGTAAAAACGTCTGTGATAAACTTGTTTTCGATTATACTGGACCGTATAGAAGCGACCCTTGCCGATCCCGAAAAAACAAATGTCCACAAATTAGTCTTTGAGCCCGATAGAATACGCATTTGAAAACTGTAACACTAACTCTTTGTCTCTATAAAGAAATTAAGTAGGAACGCTGTTGCCTGCCCTTTTATGAGCTTGTATGTGTTTTTTAAAAAGGAGGCTACGGGTGACATTCTAACAATTCCCACATAGAGACTTCAAGAAGCAGTGCAAGAACATAGCAGTAACATACCTTACGTAAATGCAAATGAGGAGAGCCAGAAAAATACAGGGTAGAAAGCCTCAAAACTCAATATCACCATTACAATTATAATGAACAGAGTCAGAGATCATAAATCAAGTTAAAGCAAGTGCATTTCCTTAGAAGCATTGCATTTCCAGTATTTTCCATGTAAACTCCTCATGACCTTACTAAAACTGCAGATTGAGTCACAGGCAGTATTCAGAAATTCTTATGAAGCACTCTGGTGACAGTGTTCGTGATTCCATGCTTGCTTATATTGCAGAGATATCGTTCTTAGTGTTATTTTATTTTTTTTTGCAGCTGTAGCCATCTCCTTAAGAGAGTGAAGTCTCACAGTGGCCGTCGGAAGAAACTGGAGTCACTGGCAGCTCGGCGTGCGTAACGAGGTTCCTTGGAGCGTTCAGGTCGTTGTAGAGGTCTCTGGGCTGGCAGGTAGCCCATGTTGCACCGGCACGTGTCCCACTCATTCTTCGTGTGTGACTTGGGCTTCAACTGCTGAGTGTCGCAAGTGGGGCCCGACCAAAAGTTTTGTTGCTAGGGTCAATTCGTTTCAAGCCGACAGTCACCCCAAACTACACAGTGACCCCGCATTGCTAGACCTTCTCTTCGACAATACAGGCGACGATGAGACATGGAAGGAAGATTGCGCTTCAGGCGGCGGGACTTTGGAGGCAAATTTTAATGGTCCTCATTCCAATTGTTTTGCTTCCGTTGCTCTTCTTCGAAGACGTTCAGGTGAGTTTTTACGCCTGTTCGCATGTTGCAAGAACGCTCATTGTGCCGAACAGCTGTGCTCTTTGCAACTCGCACATTAAAGACTCTTTGGTGTCCCTGAGACATATTTTTGATACTGCTTGGGATGGGGTACTTTCGAAAGGAAAAAAAAAAAGAACGAGCATGGGATAGTAAATATTCCAAAAGCTTTAGTCACAGCAGTGCTTTTCATAACGCCATTGTTAAATGCAGCTAAAGGCTCAACGTAATACAACCGATAATTCGTTGCGGTTTTATTACTGATTTTGGGCTTGTATATCTTTACGCACTCTTGTATTCAGAAGATTTACTTGTCCGCACATTCATACTGTGCGAATATTTGCACTTGTCATGCTTTTCTGAAGGGTTGTGGCACGGTGCAGTTTCTGGCCCGTTTGTGCAAGCAGTTCAGTGTTTAATTTATGATCAACATGGACCTTTTTTTGCACTTCCTACTTTTGCTTCCTCTTTGTAAAGTGCGTGGTTGGGCTGGTTGCCATGACGCCGCAATTGAATATAGGTGTATGTTCACACTTAGCGTACTGTAGCATTCCAATAATGATACTAACAATAATAAAAGTGTTTTTTTTTCACTAAATCGAAGCTGGAGCAAGAACATCGACAGTTGACTCTGTGTAAGCATGTATTCGTTATTTGAATACGTTGATTGCAAAGAAGGCCAGCAGATGCCTGAAAATTCTTTAATTTTCTTTCGAGTAGCCAGGTGAATGCTTTTTTTTTTTGTCATTACAGAGTCTTATTGTTCAATTCTGTCCACTGTCCTAAAAAATGAAGAGCCGAGAAATTCACATTTACAGATTCCAAAGATGAGAGCATCCCCGAACTACGAGACGACAATAACCAGCCTCTATTCACAAAAATATAATGTAGTAAGAATTTTCGTATTTGAACATTTCCGGCAATCCTTATGTAGGATATCCCACGAGAAAAGATCGCAGGAGATTGGCAAACACCTTCTCAAAAAGAAATGTTTTTGCATTATCGGTCCCCAGTTTATTAGTGAAAGGTCAGAACTTACCTCCAAGGCTTTTTTTTTGTTGCTTTTGTCTGTATGTTCTTCGTATAAAATAGTCTGTGGAGTATCTATTTCTTGCCACAGCAAACATTGGGGCGTGAACCAACGACCATAGCCTACAAAATTGACCATCGGCCTGCACCCTGCCCCTTCCTAACGTTCCAAAACACCTGTGAAGTTTTCTTGCACCATAGGTTGATTAAGGCAAAGTGGTGGTTTTTGTACCCGTACGTGTAATTGATTAAATCATGTCCAAGTTGTTCTCTCTGTCATATAAGGAGTATACGTCAGTTTATTTCATTGATATTGAAAAAATAGTACCTACCATCCCAGCTACAACGCTCAGGGTCTTACATAGAAATTAATATCCAAATATGACCTTATTTCATAAAGTTTGCCCACACACTTACAAAAGGAGCTCGCGCCCCCGTTGTGGGCAAGTAGCTAACTCAGATCATATTCTCTGCCGATGCCCCTGGTTAGTGAACACTGACCAAGCCAACCCTGCCAAGTGGTGCTCTGCCCTTAGAAGCCTTAACAGGGGCAATCAGCTTTGGGCCGTCCAGGGAGCCTGTGATGGAGTGGTCAGGATTAGCCCGCCAGTCCCAACATTTCATAAGTTCACTACGTGCTAGTCACGTCTCTCAGGACTTTAAATGAAGTACCACCTTCCGCCGTTATTAACGCGATAGCGTTAAAAAGTTTGTTTCACAGAAATTTCAGCGTCGTTGGCTTTGACTGAAATGTCATCATGTAGTCGTGACCAAAAAATCAAGAAAAATGCAAATAAAATAAAAAGTAGAAAATACTGGGTATTTGTGTGGATCAAACACAGGTCGCTTAGATGTCAACAGAGTGTTGTACAACAGAGCCATGCGTCTGCTTGGGAACACAGTGAAATACCTTCCTCTGTTAGGAAATTCCGCGTAAGCAACACGTGCTTTAACAAACGCTCGTGCCCTGTATATATGCCTAACGATGTGACATGTATTATCACAGTAATAATGCGTGTTACAAACGTACACTACGATTGGGCGTCAGATCTTGTTAGTACCAGGAGTTTAGGTTTTAAAGCGGGCGAAGCATTACGAAAGAGACACACATTACTGAGGCTATTCGTTTAAGACCACGTAGTGGGTGCATAGCAAGCTCGACAAGATTTCACGTGCACAAATGCCTATGGTTGAAAACATGCTATCGATTACACTAAATACAGCCGTATGTGAAATCTTCATTCACGCAAGCAATTTTGAACTCAGTACTCGCTATAAATACAGGATATCGCTATTGCGTTCAGCTCTTAAAAACTTAGCTTACAGATCCGCAATTTTTGTTAGGATTCATGTGGAATGAAAATTTTTCGTTCCATTTTTTTTCTTTTTCGGGTGTACCGAGTTCGTGCTTTTTGTGCCAGACGATTATGTCATTAGCTGCTTATCTTGTAGAAGAATGAAACTGAAGGTTGTTGTGGTGTCATTCAGTATATATATTGTACATCAACCCAATTATTACCATTTTATTGAAAATACTGATAAAAGGCTTGAATAATAAAACAATGGTGCTATAGGACTACGCCAGTAATTGAAATTCAGTGCAAAATAAGATCAAAGCAATATAGTGCTTCTTTTTAAACTATGAAAAGGGTTTTATAGAATGTATAACGTTGCGAATAAAAGACACAGACACAAGAATAGGCGGTGTAACACACGGGGTCCTAAGATTCAACTAATGTATTTTGGAGAACAGTGACCCTTTCACATACTTTACGGAAATAAACTCGCATGTCCTAAAGAACACCATCAAACATGTGCACAGCAACTCAAAGAAGCAATTTGTTTTGGTGCGTGGGAAGACAGGTACAGTATTAAAAAGAAGAGCATATGTAATAGATGTCGCATAACTCCAATTATAAGTGACCTATTTTTATCAAATGTTAACAAAACACTGGCTGACAAATTGCTCTCAACAATGGTGTGCAAGGGTTTCAGATACGTTGATGACTTTATGTTTATCTTAAATAGCAGTTCATTATATTTAACCGAGAGGCACTAAAGGGTCTTTTCATTGTGAGAAAAGGGTCTGAAACGATTACTTATGGGCCACGAGATGCACACAGACTCAAGCATGTGGTCTTAAGTACTAGATTCTTTTATTGGTAATGATTTGGGCTGAAGATTTGAACCCAAGACAAACAAACTCGTTTTTTTCATATAAATCCTCGCATACGAAGTTAGTCAAGCGAGCCAATATAAATTTATGTTTTAAGATTGCCTCAAACAAGTTATGAACCAACAAAATTGATAAAGACTTCAGCCAACCCAGTACACGTCTCAGTGAGGTTGGTTACCCTAGAACGCTCTTGAGTTTTCCGGCCGAAAAGATACTCAGCAATATAGTCTTCTAGTAAAGTTACGCAACAAGCCCAGAAAAAAAAAATCGAAAACACCGCAGTAACGCTATACATTCACAAGATTTCACAAAGCTTAAGGAGTATACATGTACGGGTTGATGTTAAAGTGTTATGCTGCGCTCTTGATAAACTCTTCAAGCTACAGCAAATGACCGATAAAGAAGGCAGAGAGAAGTGTAGTGGTAAGCAACATCGCTCCCAGTTTCTTTCATGCATTGCAGGTATTGTGTACCGCCTACCTTTAACCTGTAGGCGCTATTATGTAGGGCAATCAGGTCATTGCAATTACGACAGGCTGCACGAGCACGCGAATAACGTTAATAATTGTCAATGAGTGAGGTGAATAGGGAGCGATTGTGGATGTACTATCCGAACAGCGGAGCGCGTGTTTCAAGTATTCCAAACAATATAGTGCTGGTCGTTCAGTCGTCAACGTTGACAGGTGTGCACATCTGGTTTGGCAGCACTGCGCGATCCCCATAGAGTGCATTATCTCCGTTTCTGCCCTAGTTTTTGTATGGGGATAATGGTGGCCATCGTTGGCGTGCCAACCGCTTTTGATCGTATCACTAACAATTCCTTGCTTTTACTTCATCGTCGCAGTGCAATCATTGTGTTGGCAAGTTAAAACAAAAAGAGAAATGTAATCGATTTGCGGTTGATTTTCAAACGATCGTCATATCTCGTTCTCCAGCGCAGCTTCACTTGCACCCTTCTTATAGAGACCAACCGGGAAAGGCTTCACGTTAACTGGAAATGCCGAGCGTTTCATCGGAAGAGAGAGCACAAATTGTGTCGCTTTACCGGCACGAATTGAAACAGCGTGAAATTGCCAGCATTGTGAACAGAGTTTTGTCTACTATAAATAGAATTTGCCAGGCCTTCCTGATTATGGACTCCATGATGACAAACCGTGCTACAATACTCGCCTTCGGCTGCAGTAGTCACCCTCAGTATTGGTTTTATTTTGTTCCTTTCAAATAACATTACCATACCTGGAACTCAAGCAGAAATATTGCACTATAGACATCTATAGAGGGGTCACGCAGTGCTGCCACACCGGATGTGCGGGCCTGTCTATGTCAGTGACTAATGGACGGTGCGCACTAAGCCATTGATAAGACTTGTGCCACGCGCTCCGCTGTTCGCGTGTCATTTGATGCCGATAGTACACCTGTACGCCTATATTTGAAGGATGCATCATAAGCGCAAAAAGCAGACAGAAATGAAAAGACGTGATTGATTACGGAAGCACATTATATCTCGAAACTGGAAGATAGTTGTGTCAGCGAGGCGTCTATAGCATTGTCAGCAAAACAACTTGCTTTTTTGAGTGTCTGTGCATGTGTTTTATGGTGTTCTTTGGGACAAGGGCGTTTACGTGTAGCCGGCCAAATATTTAACTATCGTGCCTGAGCGGCAGTCTTTTCTGCATATCCTTACCATACCCTTGACTAGGTTTCAAAAAAGGTGGGGACAAGGGTATGATCACAAAGCAAATGTCCTTGAAGCAATATTTTGTAACTTCGTTCCATT